TGGTATTTTTTTTAATATTATATATATATGTATAACTAAAAATTAAAATAGTAAATTATTATATTCTTAATGGGTTATCGGTTAACTCAATAACCCAATATTAAAAACCAATAACGAACCGATAACCCAATAATTTTTTTTTGTAAAACCATTAAATAACCGTTATCCCAATAACCCAATAACAATAAATCAATAACACTTTTTTCGGTTCGATTTATCGGTCGGTTCGATTTTTGCACTAATCTAACCTGTATCCTATTTTTTGTGGGTTTATCTTTCAAATTGTTTGTGTGTAATTAACACTATGTAACTATAGAGTTTATCCGAACATTGTATTCATTAAATCAATATAATAGGATACAATAAAACACAACACAATACAATATGATAAGTTACGAAACAATACATAACAACCATCCAAAAGGTACAACCACCTCATACAATGCATTTGCAGCTAGTCAGCAGATAAGTAAGTAAGTACCTGTTAAGAGCGGAAATGGCGACGACATCACCGGGCTTCAGGCCCAATTGAATTAGCCCATGAGCCAGGCCCAAAACTCCCTCAACAAATTCTATACCCGTCTTCCTCCTCTCTCCCATTATCATAACCGTTGAGCTCCGGCGAACCGTCGACAGCCGGCTCAAGCACTGGCAAATGTGAGCCTTGGAGTAATTAGCCATTTTTCTGGAGGATAAATTCGGAATTTCCTAATTTTCCTTCTTCAACCGTTCTTCTGAGCAAACAAAACAGCAAATTCTCTCTAGTCTAGTCTAGAGTATAGAGTTTGGTAGATTTATTTTAGCATAGGGATAAGTCTATAAACAAAATTTCCACAGTTTTAATAGATTATAGTTTTGAAGAATCAATTTGGTTAAATATCCAAGTAAGCTTTTGAAGATAATATTAAGAAAGTATTTTTGTTTAATTCTATGGATAAGAGGACGGAGGAGAATCGAAGATAGTGGATACGAACTATTATCATTACTTGTCTTACTCATAAAATACAAATTTCACATTTTAATTCTTTAATCTTAATGATGTAAAAAGTTTCTTAAATTGATAGTGAATTGTGACAATAAACCTATTTTGATCCATAAGAGATTTCAAAAGTGATTAAATTTAAGAACAAAGTAACTCAAAAGTTCATTTTATTAAATAGAGATTTGGTAAATTGACCCTTACAAGTGTAAATTTGACAAATATATTGTGTGTGAAGTAGTAGTACTTTTGTTGTAAGGATTGCACATTAAATTTGAATGACATAAATTGGGAGTGGATCCTATTTCTTATCATACCTTTGTAGTTTGTACTCCAAATATGGGAAGATTGTGTGAAAAAGAGGAAAAATTGAAATTTGATTAATGGGCTTTCAGTTGTGGGTCTTAAGAAGCAGGCTGATCCATAAGGGACTTGTCATGCATTGGACAAATTAGTCCAATTGAGCATTCACAAATCACAATAAAGAGAAGGACAAATTACTTAACTACACTCCTTTACTTATCTTAATATCCATTTATCCCTACTTATTTCAAAAATTTCAAAAATCCCTTATTTTACCTATGTATCCCGCATGTATCCCGTGCACAACGCTATATATCCCGCTATGTGGAATGTATCAAATGTTATGTATCCCGTGCACAACGTTATGTATCCCGCTATGTGGAATGTATCAAACATTATGTATCCCGTGCACAACGCTATGTATCCCGCATGTATCCCGTGCACAACGCTATGTATCCCGCATGTATCCCGTGCACAACGCTATGTATCCCGCATGTATCCCGTGCACAACGCTATGTATCCCGCATGTATCCCGTGCACAACGCTATGTATCCCGCATGTATCCCGTGCACAACGCTATGTATCCCGCATGTATCCCGTGCACAACGCTATGTATCCCGCAAACATCATTTTTAAGGGATTTTTGGTAAATAGAAAACTAGAAGGGATAGGATGTTATTTAGCACTTATAATATGTGGTTCCTATAATTTATACTAAAGAGAATAATTGATAAATATCTTTTATATTTTATTGTGTAATTAGGAAATGTAGCTATTGTTTTTTAGGTATATAATTGGTGTATAATATATACATGCTGTTATACATAGATTATACCGTAAGGACAAAAAAAAAATTAGGAGTTTTTTTTTTTTTTTGGGGATGAGATATGTGTCCTATTTAGGATTATACTTTTGGAAAAAGAATATGTGTCCTTTAGGATTTTCATTATAATATTTTCGGGAAAAGTAAAAAAAACAGCCAACTTTCAAAAATTCATATATCACTCGTTTTAAATCCGTTTTTTCATTATAATATATTTTCGGAAAGCTACAAACGAGCAGATCATGAAAAATTAAGTTTCAACCAAATTTATTGTACAACCAATTTTTAGATTGCTACAAACTTTCTTATCAACAATACAGTGAATGTACATGGAAGAAGTGAATTATGGGATAAGTAACGATGACTTTGATACCAATGAAGGAATTTTAAAGGCAAAACAATAAAAAGATGTGTACCTTGTAACTTTCCGCGAAAATATTTTTTGTTAATTTTGTTGTCGAAAGAAATTGCTCCAGATCACTCTTTGAATCTCAAGGAAACAAAGATCGGTCTTTGTTCACAAACTAAGAGTCTTCTTAGAGTGTTGATTGATTTGTGTAAGAAACTTACTTCTCTGTTTCTTTACTAATCACTTGTTTTTCCTCTTCTCTCTTTTTTACGTTCCACGTCTCTTAAAAGTTACTTCTAGGAGTTTTTAAGGGGAGGTAGTTACAGTGAAACTGTTCTGCCCTATCCTTTTGAAAGAATTATCCAATTTAACTAATTAATTAATTAAATTGAATAGGGCAAAACAGATTCAATCGGATCGATTCACATGGGCGACCCACGACCCAAAATTTACCCTATATTACATCAATACTAAAAGGTTCATGCACACATAAAAGGGTTGAATCTTTACATTATTTTCTTGCTGGTACAATTTGGATCATTGAGATACAAAAATAAAAAAACAAATTAAAATATCTGAGAATACTTTCTCGTGAACTAAGAACTTTTTCCATGTGCCAACTCTCAACAGCACTGTACATATAACAAACAATAACAACAATTTAATTATTTAAATTTATTAAAACAGAAAACAGTTCTGTTGGCACAAATTTTAATAAGAGGACAAGAACAAATGTCCACTCGAAACATGAAATACGACTATGTGTTGGAACTTTTGTCTTGTAATTAGAAGTTTCAAATTTTAATTTCAGAAATAAAATCTTAATAATTACGTGATCATGTATTCAAAATATGTGATCATGTAGACATGTTGTACCTCAATTGATCAGATATTTAAATTTTAAACTTTACTATGATATTTTTTCATTAAAAACAAGTACACATATTGTAATTTGTAAAAATGTATGTGCATGATTGAAGCTATAAATTTCAAAAAGTTGCCATCTTTTTCCAAAAGATATTTGACAAAATGCAACATACTAATGATTAAAGGGATTATTAAGCATACCAAATTAACGTGGCCCATTAATGATAGGTTTTAGCTTTTAGGGCATTTGACTTTTGTGTTAGATAAGCCGTCTCTTTCTCTTTTTCTTTGTTTCACGAGTGCACATTAATTTGTGAATATAAGATGTTGTATGACATTGTTTATAGGGAAAAGACCTGATATACCTTCAACTTTGTCATTTAAAGTTGATATGCCCCTTGTTATGAAAGTGACTCATATATACCCTTATCATTATACAAACGGCTCACATATACCCCTATCGTTACAAAATGAGCTCACATATACCTTTCATTTAACGGAAATGAAAAAATTAGTTTTAAATTTATATTTTTGACTTTTAATTTTCTTAAAAATTATTTCGGGATATATATGATTCTTCTAGCAAAGTTCAATGTATATTTTAATCTTTTTCATACATAAATTATTTTTTGACTTCTTTGATTATAATTATTTGAGTTTTCTTATTCTTATTTTATTTTTTTTCTTTCATTCCTTAGTGTAAAAGAAAAAAATTTAAAACTATTTTTTGTGGCTATATTATAATTTAAAACTGTTTTTTTGTCTATATTGTAATTTAATTTTTGTATTTGAAGAAACAAATTTGGTCATCTATAATAAGTTTTACAAGAATATTAGTGAAACATAAATAAATTTGACAATCAAAAAAATAAATCTAAATTAGTCATCGAAACAAAAAAAAGTCAACAAAAATATGTTTGAGGAGGATTAAATATACTCATATGGGGATTATATATATATATTTTTTAAAATAAAAATTAAACTAAAAATTAATTTTTTTCTATTTCCGTTAGAGGAAAAGGGTATATATGAGCCATTTGTATATAAGTAGGGGTATATATGAGTCACTTTCATAACGAGGGGTATATCAGCTCTAAATGACAAAAGTTGAGGGGTATATCAGACCCTTTTCCCTTGTTTATATATGAAACTTTGGATCCTTTGGCAGTAAAAAATACAATATCTTTTTTTAATTATCTTTATTATTATTATTTGAAAATGAGTGTTGGACTATGAATATTTCAAATCTAACTTGATATTGTATTTTAATTTAGAAAATAATTTATAACGCACTTCAATTCACTTTTCACTTTAAAGTTGTATCGAGATATATTTAGGCATAAACATTATCTCGAGTATTCTTTATAAAAATATATAATTAAATACAACATCATCTTCGACTCTGACTTCATGATAAATTCTAAATAAAGTGAGAAATATTTAAAATCTATAGTCAAACACCTACATAATTATATAGTTCGATTTGGGTGTGTATATTACTCACTTTGTTTCAATTTGTTTGTTTGGTTTGACCAGACACAAAGTTTAAGTAAGTAAAAAAAACTTTTGAATTTTGTGATTTTAAATTAAAGATATATAATAAATATCAAAATATTATTTGTACTTATAATCTTAAACATATCATGTGAGAAGTTAAAATTAAAAAGTTGCAAAAAATGATTTTTTAAACAGACTAAAAGAAATAAGACAAACAAACTGAAATCGTGAGGATCCATAATAAAATATTAAGTATCACAATTAAAAATTTATTCTGATTCAAAACTTGCGAAAGTTATACTGTAACTTGCTATAAAAGTAATTCACGGGAATTTTGCTTTTATGCGAATCAATTTAAAGTAATTTGATAACGTAGAAATTAAGACGACTATTTACCATGGACTAGCAAAGTTTTACTTTGCTTGTTAATCTACTGTGACTCTATTTTTTTATCCTAACTTGAGACGGACAATATGAAGAAGCTAACTTAGATAACGTTTTAATTCATGATAGAGTCAAAAAATTTATGAAGTGAGTTTAAAATATGAAAATAACATATAAAGAAGTTGAATGTACTACTCAGAGGCGTATCTAGAATTTTGAGATGATGTGTGCACTATTACGAACATGTGGATCTAAGATGTAAAGTTGATCGCGGTTTAAAATTTAGGTTCTTATCACTAAAAATAATTAAAATTTAAAAATTATAGATCCAAAATTATTTTTACCTATCCAAACCACTTAGAGAGGCGTTATCCAATTTTAGAAAGAAAAATAAAATGATAGAATAAAAAATTCAAATTTCTAACCTCACTTAGAGAGGTTCACCCAACCATATACCAATCGCATGGTATGATACTTCAACTATGAGTTCACATATCTATATTTAAATATATGATTTCAGGAAAGGAACATGAGTTCACGTGAATTCGATGACCCCCTCCTGAATACGCCTCTAATGTACGTAGTGTTGAGTTTTAAAAGGTGTGAATGGAAAATGAAGAGTTGCAACTTTTATGAAAAATTGTGACTTTTATGAAAAGTTGTGACTTTTATGAAAAATTGTGACTTTTATGAAAAGTTGTGACTTTTATGAAAAATTGTGACTTTTATGAAAAGTTGTGACTTTTATGAAAAATTGTGACTTTT